CATATTTTCTAAAATTATTTCTGTTTGTAATATAACAATGCTATCTTATGTACCTTTGCAGAATCCCTTTTACAATTAGATTTTCACCCATTATCTCTAAACAAGCTTATGGTTACAATCCTTATATCTTTTCCCTGTTTCTCTATTTCTTGTTTCTGTCTTTTACAACTTCTTTTCCTTACCTTCTTCCCCCTCTTCTTCTCCCTCCCCCTTTCACCCCCTTGTCTCTCTACTTCTAACTCTCTCATCTGTAATCCTCTCTTCTGTTGCTTTCTAATATTATACTTATCTTTCAAATTGTTCTTCTTCTTTTTGGTTGTTTTTTCTAGTCTTAAATCTTTCACTCTCTTTCCCCCCTTTCCTTTCCCCCCCCCACTTAAAATTATTAGATCATTAAAGATGGCTTCTTCTTTGTCCCAATCTTCTTGTTCTGCAAGTGTTTCTTGTTGTTTCTCATAGTTCCAGATCTCCATTTCTAAGAATTGAAATATGAAGCCATAAGAACCTCTCCCTTCTTGTGCATCTTCTTTCCATTTTTTAAGTTCCATTTTCAGTTCTTCTAAGAGTGATAACATTTTAAAGACTTTTAAACAACCACCCGATTAATTTTAGTCATCTAGATGCAAAAACCAAAAATCAGCAAGTAAGTAAGGCTGTTTCTTCTTGCTTCTTTTTTCCACTTTCTCTTCCTGGGGTTCTATTATTTTGTTGCCAAGTTTCAGTTAAAATGTATCTTTGAGGAATCTTGTTAAAATTTCACTGTAAGTTCCTTTTAGTTACAGTTCCATTCCTTAGTTGCAGGCAATCTCCTCCATTTTTCCAGAACCTGCCCTTTTATTCTTTTTTTTCTCCTTTCCTGCTTTTAAAAACTTTTAAATATCCAGAAATCTTTATTATTCCTTTGACTTTTATTTTCAGCTTAAATGCCTATTAATGTCAAAGTGGATTTTTTTTCAATTTCTTGCTTAAGTTTCTTAGCTGTCAGTATAAGGAAGGGAAGAAAAAAACCCAAATCCTTTCCCTTCTCTCTCTCCTTCGCAGCTTCAAAATCTTCTTTAGGAACAATGTTATTTAATTTAAATTCCAGGGTACCTTACGTTGTTGCTTTTTCAGTTTAACCCGGTCGACCAAAACTTTCTCTTCTTATCTTCCTCCTGCACATTCTTTCCAGTTCAGTTCTTCTTTGAGGTGGCCATTTCTGACCACCGCTGCAACCGCCTTCGGGAAAGGGAGTAATGGCCAGCTGGGGAAGAGAGATGTGGCTCTCCTCGACCCTGCTAGCAGTCTCCCCCTTCTTCACTCTATGGGGTGGCTTAGCCCGGAAACCAGCCGGCTCGGGGCGCTCTGGCGGCGAGCACAGATCAAAACCATGCACGATCGCGGATTTCAGTCTGTCATCAAAGAGACTCAAACCAGAAGTCCTGCCTTCCATATTTTCAAGGTCGGTAAAATGAGGACCCAAATTGTTGGGGGCAACATTTTGACGTGGTAAACCATCCAGTGAGCGCTGCAAAGCACTATATAGAAGCATATAAGTCTAAGTACTATTATTATACCATAGTACTTTTTATTACTATTCATTCATCTATCAATCAATCAATCCATCCATCAGTCAATATGGCCACCGATCTCAAAAACATGATTCTGCTTACAACCATTAAAAATGATATAAAAAGAGCAGAAGACAAAATAAAAAGGGGGGAATGGGTATTGGGTATGTTTGCTGCCTTATTTATAACAAAAAGGATAAAAGGATAAAAAAAAAGGATAAAATTCAATAAATAACATTTAAAAAAATAAACTGGTCCATTAATGTGATGAAAAAGGAGGAAGAATTAAATCAATGATTGGAAAATAACTGAATTAAGTATAGCTGTTTTGAAAGAAATAAGAAAATTAAATTCAATTAATTTTTGGTTCTGGCTGTAACCTGTTCTTTCTGTAGGGCCCAGCATGCCATTCAAAGCCTGAACTACAACTTTTAGCCCAAGAAAAACTCTCCACTCTGAATTTAAAGGAAGACCAGGATAGTCCAGGTCTTAAACAAGCTTGCTCAGCCTGTGGAACCTCACTTTCTAATCTTTCCTCCTCTCCCTTCAGAATCATTGGTGCAAATTTTGGCAAGCCCTTGGTAGGATTGGATGGCCTATTCAATCTATCACTTCCTTAAAATGCCAAATCAAAGTGTTTATTGTTCAGATTCATACATTCTCCCCTCCAAGAATAAAATTGCCCAGAGTGATTTGCAAATCCCAGAAGAAACAAGTCCACATCTATCCCTGCAGAGTCTCCAAACATCTAAACATGGGGTAAGAACTAAGTAGCTAGTCCTTGGGGGGGAGCGGGGGGTTAGCCAAAGCTGCCCTTGGATCACTAGGACTCTGACACACCTTCTCCAAAAGATGGCATATATTAATAAACTCCTTGCAATGTCTTTGTAAGAAAAAAGAGAGAAGAAAATGATGACAACAGTGTTCTAACATCAAACTATTCTCTAAGGTTCACAGCTTCCTAATGAGGGAACCAAGGCAAGAAAAGGTATCCAAAGTTGTCTACAGAAATGTATTCCGTGTGGATCAGCTGAAGGCCACATAATAGGTAATCCTGTTTTTTTTTTCATCAATAAACATCAGCTATATTGATATATCGATATCAGCTATGGTTTTTAAAATGTTCAGAACTCATAAGGAGAACTAAAAGACAGGTGTAAGAATCCATCTGAAACATCTTCTCAAAGGTCATTAAGTTATTAAATTAAGGTAAGAGCCTTGGTGGTGCAGTGGTTAGAGTGCTATATTGCAGGCCACTTCTGCTGACTCTCAGCTGCCTGCAATTTGGCAGTTCAAATCCCACTAGGCTGAAGGTTGACTCACCCTTCTGAGGTGGGTAAAATGGGGACCCAGATTTTTGGGGGCCATAGGAGGGTTTCTGTTCTGAAGTTATTCAACCCTGAAGGAAATAGCTGTGTGCATCATGCATGCTATTTCCCTTTCTATTTGTTTTAGTGGCATCACAAATAAGCCTTTTAGATGCCATACTTTGGTTTTTGCAGCCCAAGCTAGATAAATCATTTCAAGAAGGAGGGTAACCACACTCTATTGAAGTCTGTTTTAACTTGGTGATCTTTGTGTGCAATAAAGCTCTGTGTTTTTGAGAAAGGCAGACAGATAGACCACACGAATCTGTTGTGTTTTAATCTGCATTGACATTTTAAAAATATTTTCCCCCTCAACAAAAAGGTTAGGGTAAATAATGTATATATATGTATGTATAGGAGAATGGTAATAACTGATGTCACAAATAACTGCAAAAAATGTATTTAGAATTTGTTTTTTAAAGGTGAAAATGTAATAAACTTTATTAAAAAAATATTTTCCCCTACATTTGACATTGTTTCAAAATAAATTTTAGTCCAGGTTTTGCAATGAATGGGGCTTTCTCGCACAATCAACTTGCCAATGCTTCTGCCTAGAATTGCAACTTCTTCTTGGGTCTTACCTAGAAGACAAGATATTTTTTGTGTAAACCATCTTAACTTTGGTTCCATCATTTTCATAGATCCCTGCGATATGAGCTCTATAGTACTGAACACTTTTGAAATCAAATCAAATCAAATCAAAGGTTTATTGTCAATGCACAATATGCGTACAATGAAATTGAAATCTCTTATGGCTTTCTATTTTATTAGTTGTTTAAAATCAGCCTCGTTGTAATCTCCTCATTGAAAAAAATTCCCTTAATTGAGGAGAGATCCCATCTCTAGATCCTTACTCTTGCCAAATAAACGGATAACTATTAAAATTATTTGAAGAGCTATAGATTCCATAGCGGATGGTGACCATTTTTTCCATTCTTTCTTCCACACAGCCAATTTGACTCTGAATCCAAGCACAGCTCACCCACAGCTCTACGTATCCTCTGATTTGAAAAGCGTGAGATGGAAAGGCATGAATCAGCAAGTGAACCGCAGTCCTCTGAGATACGACGTTATGGCCAGCGTCCTAAGCCACGAGAGCTTTAGTTCTGGGAAGCTTTGCTGGGAGGTGGAAGTGGTGGAGGAAGGGGAGTGGTGGGGGGTGGGGATTGTCAGGGAATCTGCAAACAGAAATGGGCTGATTCTCCTCAACCCTCAAGGAGGTTACTGGGGAGTGCAGCGAATTAATGGGAAGTATGAGTCAATCACTCAGCCCAGGACAGATTTGACCTTGTGCCATTCCCCAAGAAGGATCCGAGTTTCTCTGGACTATTCACAAGGCCTCGTAGCCTTTTTTGATGGTGATACGAATGCTGAAATCTTCACTTTTCCAAAAGCAAATTTTGCTGGAGAGAAGGTTTACCCATGGTTCTTGATCTTTAAGTGGAATGCACAGCTTCTCGTCCACCCATGACACAGTGGGACAAAAGAGACCATCCTGCTGGAAGAACTTCAGACCACCTGCCTTAATCTCTCTTCTGCTTCTTCTGCTCCTCTCTGCCTTCCTGTACGATGGGCCCTTTGATTGTCATAAATAAATGTTTCCCTTCCTCCTCTGCTACCAGCTTTTTAAATTCTAAATCAAAAACCCCTTAAGTTGCAGTAATAAGATGCATTTCAAACAATACTTCTAAACTCAAAAGATTAAAAGGCATTGGGATTGGCATCCTTCAGCCTCAAAAGTGTATCGTGCTCTGAAAAGAGGTCCTAAAACAGCATCTAGTGTGGCTAAAAAGGCCAATTCGAGAGTGGCAATCCCTTCCATACCGAGGACAGATACAGTCTGTCCCCTGTCCAGCCCCCAGATTTCGCTGGTTCCGGGACTGCCTGTTTGCCTCAGCCTGCCGAATGAATGTCTCTTCAAATTAGCCTCCAAGCTGAACGATCAGAAGTTAAGGTTTCCCAGCTGTTAATGTCCATTCCCAAGACCTTTAGATCCCTCTTGCAGATATCCTTATATTGCAGCTGTGGTCTCCCTCTAGGGTGCTTTCCCTGCACTAATTCTCCATACAGGAGATCTTTTGGAATCCACCCATCAGCCATCCTCACGACATGCCCAAGCCAGCGTAGACGTCGCTGTTTCAATAGTAGCTACATGCTAGAAATTCCAGCACGTTCCAAGGCTGTGCTGTTTGGAACTTTGTTGTGCCAGGTAATGCCAAGAATACGTCGGAGACAGCACATATGACAGGTATTTTCTCTCTTGCCGTGTGTAAAGGGTCCAAGACTCGCTGCAGTACAAGAGTGTGCTCAAGACACAGGCTCTGAATCTTTGTATGCGTTTGTATTGTACTCAAAAGATTAAAGGAATAAATAATATTTCAATCTGTCTCTTATATTTGTGAACGAAACAAATAATTATCTTGACTTTGAGAGTTCACTTGTCAATCTATCCCCAAAACCATGTACCTTGCAGCCATTGGGTCTCTTTATGCTTCTGGCCACTCCCAGTTTTAAACTTTCTAAATCCATCATCCAATGGTTAAACAGCAATGCTGGGGCCGGAGGGGAGATGGCTGCCCAGATACACCCTTGGACTTGCTTTGACTGGTTCAGATATTGAAACATAGGCATTCAGAGTTCAGCATTTTCCATACTGAATTTGAAAAAAGTAAATCTTTTTCAGAATCTTTCTGGGGGATTCCTCTCCATTAACAGCTGATGCCTTTCAGTCTTGGTGGTTTTAAAACAGAATCAATCCATTCGTAGCCAGGGTGAATAAATAAGTGCGTTCTTACACAACAGAACTAGCGGTTCCTGGGAACAATATGGAAGCTCACCTTAAATCTCTGCTTGTGAGAAGAATGTGTGAAAATTAAGTGTTGAAATATATATATGAGTGCGGTTAATGGCAGAAGTCTAAGATAGTGGAGTTGGATCAAGAGCATGACTAGGTTTCTAAGATGGGGCCTAGGTATAGCAATAGCAATAGCACTTAGAATTATATACTACTTTACAGCCCTCTCTAAGCAGTTTACAGAGTCAGCATATTGCCCCCAACAATCTGGGTCCTCATTTTACCCACCTCGGAAGGATGGAAGGCTGAGTCAACCTTGAGACTGGTGAGATTTGAACTGCCAAATTGTAGGCAGCTGGCAGTCAGTAGAAGTAGACTGCAGGGCTGCACTCTAACCACTGCACCACCATGGTTCATAAAACAGCTCCATTTTAAAGTATCCTAATGTTTTTCACAATTACATTGTAACTCAATGTTCAGCAGTGCTATGCAGTCTAAAGAAACTTTAACCTTAGAGACTGTCTACTATTGACCTCACCCCTTTCCTAAGAGGTCTGTAGGGGGCGTGCATAAGCGCACCAACATGCCTACCGTCCCTGTCCTATTGGTTCTTTTATTTTTCTTATATGTTCCCATTCCATGTATTCATAACTATGTTTATACTTACACCTGTTAATCGCTTGACAAATAAATAAAATAAATATAAATAAATAAATAAAGATGGCATTGGGCCATGGAAGGGCATGTAGGTGTAATGATATGTGGGAATGACCTTGGGAGAAGAGGACAAGAGATGCTGCCCAAGGAGCAATCAGATAAGAGATGGCACAGCCCACAGCTGCATCATGGGCAAAGAAATAAAGTTAGAAAGGACCTAACTAATTGCCCTAATCGATCAGGCTATTAAAAGTGACTGTGGGAGAGTTATACTTTCAAACTTGAGAAACCCTATTTATATAGCCTTATAATACAGTAGAATTAGCTCATCTGGTCATGCTTCCTGTCTGGTCTGCATGGGAGGGCTGACAACAATTTTGCAAGTTTGATAAGACAAATCTCTTGCCACCTCTTTTACAGCCTGAGGAAGCAGGGAGATTCCTTTCTTTCTCTTGCCAATATGCAGCTGTGGGTTAAGTCCTCTCTTATCTCATTGTTCCCTAGGAGAGATACTGCCTACATAGCAATATAATAGGAGATGCATAAACTGAAAAAAAAATCCTTGGTTTTGGGGGGATAGAAAAAGAATGGATGAACACTAACTTTAATTCCCAATGACATGTTGACACTAATATACTTTATGTCTGATGAGTGAGAGAGCCTAATTGTCTACAGCAGGGGTGTCAAACTCAAGGCCCACAGCTCCAATCTAGCCCATGGATTGCTTAGATATGGTCCATGGGGCCACCCTGGAAACAGCAAAGGACAGGCTCACAGTGTCTCTGCCAGTGAAGATGGAGCTTGAGAAGGCCACATGCAGCCCTCCCGAGCTCCATTTTCAGCTGTGACTGCCTCTTACATCCTTGTGCCAGTGAAAACGGAGCTCAGGAGGACTGCACACTGCCCTCTTGAGCTCTGTTTTTGCTGGCAGAGTGCTCAGGCCACCACAAGTACCCCCAACATGAGTGATGTAGAGCTAGCTATGGCCTTCCGCCTCACCCCCCCCCCCGAGGTCAAACACAACCCTGACAAAACCGAGTTTGACATCTCTAGTCTACAGTCATCTGAGAGAACCTCAAGAGGGCCTCCAAAATTACAATATAAGTAATCTTCAACTTATGCTCACAATTAAGCCCAAAGTTTCTGTTGCTAAGCAAGACAGCGCACCAACGTGCCCACTATCCCTGTCCTATTGTTTCTTTTTATTTTTCTTATATGTATCTATTTCATGTATTCATAACTATGTTTATACTTATACCTATTATCTTGTAAGCGATTGACAAATCAAATAAATAAAAAATAAATAAAAAGTGAATTTTGCCCTATTTTATGATCTTTCTTGCCACAATTGTTAAGTGAATCACGGCAGTTATTAAGCTAGTAACATGGTTGTTAAGTGAATCTGGCTTCCACATTGACTTTATTTGCGAGAAGATCACAAAAAGTGATCACATAACTCTGGGAACACCCCAAATCATCATAAGTATGAATCAGTCACCACAGTCTAAATTTTGATCACGTGACCACAGGGATGGTGTAATGGTCATAAGTGTGAAAAATGGTCATAAGTCACTTTTCCCCTGCAGTTGGAACTTTGAATGGTAAGTAAATAAACTGTTGTAAGTTGGGGATTATCTGTATGCAGAAGAACACATGTTCCCACAGAATCTTCACTGACAATGGAGCCCTGACCATAACCTGGAACGAATCTTTTATCACTACTTTATTATAAGAGGTTAATTAGGAGATGGAACAGCTACCCCATTTTCAGGGGTGGGATCCTACCGGCATAACAACCGGTTCGGTGAGTGTACGCTTTGTACTCATGCGCAGTCAGGGGTGGGATTCTACCAGTTTGCACCTACCCGCTAGAACCGGTTGTTAACATTCTAAGCAGTTCGGAGAACCGGTTGTTAGAAGAAATTACTGGCCTAATCCTGTAAGGAAGGCAGGAAGGAAACATTCTGGTGTTGCTTACAGAAACTGCCTCTCCGTTAACCCTTATTACTTTCTTGGCAGGACTAGATGTCCTGTCTCTGGAACGTCTCTGGAGTTTTTTCCCCCTCCTTTTCTGGTACTTTGCTTGTGTGGAGTGACCATTTAAAGTTACAATGGCACTGAAAAAAGTGACTTATGACCATTTTTCACACTTATGACTGTTGCAGCATCCCCACAGTCATGAGAAGCCAGGCGAGAAGATGCGTGCCTCGATGTGAGTGGTATTGAGTTGGCCACACCCAGCCAATAACATGACCACCAAGCCATGTCCACCAAGTCACATGACCACCAAGCCACACCCACCACCTAAGCCACGCCCACAGAACCAGTTGTTAAAAATTTGAATCCCACCCCTGTGTGCAGTACTTGCAAAACAACTTCTCCTGCGAGCAATTACCATCTCCTGCTGACACATGGCACTCAGCAGTGCCACGCAAAGCAACTCAGGTAAGAATAAAGGACATCCTAGAGCCCGGGCGGGCGGGTGAAAGAAAAGATCTTTGGAGAGAACCAGTTCGGTGTCAGCTACTCTTCAGAGCTACCGGTTTTATAGAACCAGGCCGAACCAGTAGAATCCCACCCCTGCCCATCTGGATTTTTTTTTTCTCTCTAAAGAGGTGTCATAGAAGCCATGGAGTTGAACTTTCTTAAAACATATGGAAAAAAGGAATAGCAATAGCATTTAGATTTATATACCACTTCACTGTGCTTTACAGCTTTCTCTTAAGCTGTTTACAGAGTCAGCATATTGCCCCCCCCCCCCCAACATTGGGGTCCTCATTTTACCCACCTCGGAAGGATGGAAGGCTGAGTCAACCTTGAGCCAGGTGGGATTCAATCTGCCAAATTGCAGGCAGTCGGCAGTCAGCAGAAGTAGCCTGCAGTACTGCACTCTAACCACTGTGTCTCCACGGCTCATCAATCAAGTGATTGGAGTGATTGTCCTTAGAAATTGAGGTTCTGATTCCCAACAGACCTAGAAATATCTACCCTCAACTCACTTAGCTGTCTCCAACCCAGAATTGTTCACAAGGCATCAGTTGTGCACTGATGATTACAGTTAAAAAATAACCCTCCTCTCCCCCACCCCTTTTGAATGAAACATAATTTCTAGGGCTGGC